TAAAAGGGCCTTTACCAATATAGGCCTCAGGCCTTGTAAAAATAAAGAAGCACGGGCCTTGAAAAAGTAAAGCATTGTGAAAAGGTATCTCGCCAGGGCTCAGAAACGTGAAAGCTGGTCAAAGGTCAAGTTCTCTGTCAACAGGCACATCTAAATCTAAGGCAAAGGGAATTGTCAAAGGACTTACCTGTTCACAAGGAGCTGTGTATGTCATGTCTGTTCGGGTAAGAATGTGTCTGTACGTGCAGACAGTGTACCTGTTCGTGCAAAGGAATGTGTCTGTTCGTTTAGAATTATGCCTGTCCGAAAGTAAAGTCAATAGGCACAGTCCCAATTCTGGTCTAAGTCCTGGGGTCAGTCCAGATCCAGACTTTCAAGTCCAAATCCAGGCCAGGAGGCCTCAGCAGCAGTTGAACTTCATTGGGACTCTACTGGGACACATGCAATGCAGGGTCTGGGACAAAAGGAAGGCTGGATTGAGCCAATGCAGACCCAGCGAGGAGTATAAAGGAGGCAGCCAGCCTCATTCCTCGCCAGATCCCCACTGGCATTCTATACSTGGAAGTGCTGGTGCACTTGTGCGTTGAGCCAGTAGGAGCAGCGCTGGAAGGAGAAGATGCRCTGAGTGAAGGGAGAAGCTTGTATGCTGGAAAGAATGCAGCCATAGCTGCCCAGCAGTTAGTATTAGTACTAGAGGGTTAGTAGTGGTTAGCTATGAGTAGTATCCAGAGTAGATCCTCATGAGTGAAGAGTGTGTATGCAYCRTAGGAGGAAGGGACTGAGGCTGAAAGTGTTCATTCAAGGTTCGGCTATGGAAGATACTTACCTGGGTTAGATGTGACCTGCAGAGGTGGCGCTGAAGAGTAGTGACCACATTGACGWCTTGGAGACTGTCTGCAGATGTAGCGCTGATACATTGRAAGCCATATTGATGAGTTGATAAGAGATTGGTGTTGCGCTGATGAGCGCTGGACTCAGGGGAACTTTGAAACACTTTGTATTCATAATTCTGATAATATAAGCTGTGAAACTCGGTCCTCTTCTTCTCTACCTTTGTCTATGGTTGAGACTATTGATCACTGCGTGTGAAGATGATGCATGACATGTACACATCTGCGTGAGATGGTCCCCAGGACCCATGCATCATGGTGTTCTATTTATGTATTTATGAGGGACGCTGGACCCAGTTTCAAGCAGGTGCAGCCGAATCCTAGGTCTACTAGGGGAGGCTGCTCCTATCACCTTCCCTAATTATAGATATATTCTGGCCTTAATTAAGAAAAAAGAGAGAAAAAAAAAGAGGCTACCTCCGTTCAAAAAACGAAAAAACAGAAAAAACAAAAAGGAAGTAACCCTGAGATCCGGCAGCCTGTCAGATATATATGCCTCCCCTTAATTGTGAGAGCCAGCTATGCTTGCAGGGTTCCCCTGTAAAGGCCTAGGAGTAGTGCTAGCACTGCTAGGTAGATAGTGAAAGGTGATCATTTTTTTATTTTTATTTTTTTTGGGAAAGGTGATTTTGAGCGTCACACCAGGGACTTCTTGCGTATGCCAAAAAGAAGAGTTCGACTGGTCTGATCCGAGTCATCTGACTGCCATCTTCACCCACAGAGAGAGAGAGAGAGAGAGAGAGAGAGAGAGAGAGAGAGAGAGAGAGAGAGAGAGAGAGAGAGAGAGAGAGAGAGAGAGAGAGAGATGCTGTCATTTACGAGCTTACCTCCAGCTTCATTTCTTTGAGAACCAGTCGGATAGCATGATCCAGGTCATTCGCGTTGTTGGGCGAGTCTGTACTCCCAGCTCCGGGAAACACGCCAGCTACGAGATCGATAAAACGATGAACATCTTCAAAGGCCAGCTTGGGAAGAATAGTTACACGAAGGGAGCGGATGATGATCTCTTGCTCCTCCCGCCGAGAGATGATATCATACTGCCCATCGCTGTATCTGTCCCCCTCTCCTTCATCTCCCCTCTTTTCTCCCTCTTCCTCCCCCTTTCTTTCTTGTCCCCTCGCCATGGAAGCCGCCCGTGTACTGGTCTCCTGATGCAGCATCTGGCCCGCCGTGCTGAGCACTGTCTTCAAAGCACGAAGGCCCCACTCGTAGTGCTGTTGCTGCGACAAGAGCTGGTTTGATTGAACCCAGAGTTTTGTTCGTTCCAAGCTCAGACATAAACAAAGGGAAGCGAATCAAAAACAATTTAAATAGAAAATAAGTTAGTAAATTAAATTTCCTTTTTTGGGGCAAGGGTAGCTGCCGCACAGATGAGTTTCCGATGGGCAGCAAAAAAACACGTACCGGCAAAACAAACAGCCTCCGAGTTGGAAAAGGCAATGACGCACCGCGGCTCTGACGGAGGCACAGATGTCATAACTACATGGGCGGGCCGTGGTGGCAGGCGGGAAGGGAATCCAAAAAAAAAAAAAACCCTATTCTGACTGAAATTGCCATTTCAAAGTCGCGCCATGAGCACAGTGCCATTTAGGGGTTTTTTGTTTTTCCTTTTTTTTTTTTTTTTTTTTTTTTTTAATGCTTCACTTAATATAATTGACATTTCGTTAAAACTGACATTTTTTTCTGAATTCACGAAAGTGGACTTAGTCAAAATCCCATTGCTCATTGGGTGACAAAATGGTTATCTCACTTTGTCCATCTGATGTACCTCAACGTAAAGTACCGTTAACATACAGCCGATGATCAGATCATCAGGAGTTGCCACGACATCCGATGATCCGATGATCCAATGTCATGGGGACAAAAAAACACTAAAAAATGTTGTTTTTTGGTACGCCCAATTTCGTGAATTTAGAAAAAAATGTCAGTTTTAACGAAATGTCAGTTATATCCATTCAGTTACACGTTAGCTTCAATTGACACAGATGGATCCTAACACTTCGCTGAGAGCCCCCACTGGGCCCAACAGATTTCCCGGACCTGTTCCCTCCTCATAATAATGCAGTGGAAGATCTCAATGGTGCGAGATAACGGAAAAGAAAGGAGATGGAAAGCAATCCAAGGAACCAGTACGTGGGCTTTAGGGTTTAAGGGTTAAAGGGTTAAGGAACTTAAGGGTTTAGGGGTTTCAAGGTTAAGGGCTTAAGGGCTAAGGGTTTAAGGGTTAAGGGTTTAAGCGTTAAGGGTTTAAGGGGATATGTCCAAGGAAGGCAGATAGCAAATCGAACGGGAGGGTCAAGGGCTTACTAGGGTTCAGGGTTTTGGCCACACCGAAGGCGAGACCCCCCCCGGTACTAGAGCAGACAGTTTAGTAAAGCAGGCGCCTTATAGAAGGGTGAAGAGGCCTTATAGCAGATCCCCCCCGGTAACACCCACCCTGTTCGAGCCCCTTGTGCCTTGAGAATACAGATACGGTCAGCTGTAGCCAAGCCAAGTCAAATGAGTCATTTGAGTCATTTGGGTCATCTGAGTACACCTCCAGTGCGAGGTGCCTGGGTTTAGCTACGGCCGAAACCTGGCAATGGCCCCAGCCATCAGACATCATTTCCATCTATACGGTCTGTTTAGGGACGCTGGGCCCATTGCCCAATTCCCAGCAGGTGCTGCTCCCGACCAAATAGATGGAGCATCCAGCAAAGCCCATACTAGGAGTGGCTGCTCATATCACCAGCCCTAGTAGGCGCAGCAGGTTTTAACCAAAAAAAAAAAAAAAAATTGCTCGTTTGCCTGCCTTGCCGTTTGTTCGTTTGTCATTATTGCCGTTTTCACCCGAATAGAACGCCCGGTAATTAGCATTGAATCTAGACTGAAAGTTGCCCCAA